AAAAAAAAAATATACAAGTTATATGGCGCGTAACAAAATATGATTATATCTGCGCCATATGATAATCTTTTTACAACGGCTCGGTCGAATTAGACGCTCCAAAACTGCGATTTGGTCCAATCGGCTAGTAGTTGATTAGAAGTTCGAATCACGCCGATTTCCAAATTTCTTTTCGATCTTGTTTTTACGCTTCTAACAATATTCTTGACACCATCAGCGATCAATTTATTAACAATAAATCTAATTCTCCTGATTTCTTTGTTTTTCTTCAAGAAATTATTCACAATGTCCATATATTCGATATCTTTTCCGGTATCTTCATAAATTAAATCCAAAGATTTCAAATTACACTTTATACATTTCAAATCTCTCTGAATTGAATTATTTTCTTCACATAATCCATCAACATCCAACGTGAGATGAGTAACCCGTTTTTGAAGGGCGCCCAAGATAGACCTCAAATCATCCAAGGTGTGACCATCATACCTTGATACTTTCAACGAGAAACTTTGAAATTACAATCTTTTCTCTTGAGTAATTTCTTTAGTGAGGTAGCAAACATGGAAAAGGAGACGCCATTTGAAGGACGAATTGATAAGTGAGTTAAAGTGGAGATGAATTGTGATGATGATTTCAGGGGTAGTTTTTTCAATGTAAAGTTTTCGTAACGAGAAAGGGGATATCAAGTTAAGTAAAGGGATGATTGAATTCGCATTCTGATTTCTATGTATGATCAAATTTTCCACCGAAATGTTATATGAAGGATTGATCATATCCTCCCCGATAGAGACGAGACTGTTGTTATATTCTCCTGAACTATCTCCCAGAGGCGAATCCACACAACTTCTCCCAAACAAATAATCAGAGAAACCATTCGAGCTTGATCGTTGTTGACGTTGTTGAGATAAATTGAACCCTTTAAATTCCAACACTTTAAGTCGTTTACAATTAGAGAGTAATTCCAATAAAGGTCTGCTGAGGTGATTTAAATCAGAGAATTCCAAATATTCCAAGGTATTTAAATGTTTACTTAGAGCGCAAAAGACATCCAAAAAGGTGGGATCATCATTTAACCAAAATTCATTTGATTTAAATGTGGTTAAATAACGTAAACTTTACAAGAAATGACAAATTTGGTGAACGGGTGGATCAGAAGATTTGTTCAAAATGAGTTTCACTTCATGAATATTCGTTGAAGTTTTACTTAAAGGAACAATTCTGAAATTATTGGTTTAATATCATTAATAAAAGATCGTTGTGGAAAGTAAATGAAATCTAATTTGGTTAATCGTTGTAACTTCAGTTCAATATTTTTGAAAGACGTTATGTTAACGGATTTTAATGCGTCTTCAGTAACGTATTGATAATTCAACGAAAGAAGAGCGTTGCTTTTATTCACTATCCATTGAGCCAAGTTAGTTGTTGGATTAAATGAGGGAGATTTATAATGCATCAACCTAGTATTCCTTAGTAGTTTAGTGAAGTAATATTCGATAGAGGAGTAAAGTAACGCGACGTCAAAGCTTTTTAAGTAAGTTGGATAATCGAATAATGGACGAGTCATTTCTGGAATGATCATCCCTTCCTTGGAATATCTTTGTAATTCCGATGGTGGTAGACATGATACGAAAGTCTTGATGATTAATGACGCATTCCTTTCCAATGTGTTGAACGTTGAAGAAGAAGTTTCACCTCTTTCAGCGGAGGGAGAAGCCTGTTGAATTAAATCGAATGGACGCCTCCATAATAATGGAACGACCAGACGACAACATAATCTAT